GAGAGAGAGAGAGAGAGAGAGAGAGAGAGAGAGAGAGAGAGAGAGAGAGAGAGAGAGAGATGGCAGACAGTGACATGGCCGAGACGAACCTGGAAAATGCGGTGAAATTACAGGCACGACAGTATCAGCTGGAGATTTTGGAACGGGCCAAAACGCAAAACACTATTGCCTACTTGGAAACAGGCGTTGGCAAGACCTTGATATCAGTGTTACTCATCAAGGCAAAGTCTGCAGAGTTGAGAAAGGAGTTGCCCAATCGGAAATGTACCATGTTCCTGGTGCCAAGTGTAAACCTTGTATATCAGGTATAGTTCTCTCCACTGTATACCTCGTAGTTTCATCCCTGTCATCAGCTGTCCTGTCCGCTTTGGGAAACACAGCTTTAGCTATTCTTGCATTCTATTGTAGGTATTAGCTACATGTTTGTGTTTGCTTAGCTTGTTCGCTTGGTCTCACTCGTGGCATTTTCTACTGTATGCACTTCCACGGCTTTTGTACTAGTCTAATCGAGTTTAATCAGTGTGAGATATGAAACAAACAGTCGTTTGCTTTATTTAGCCTTTTTGTGTTGTGCACTGTGCTCTGGTGGTGCTTGTTCGATGTGGTGGTGCTTGTTCGATGTGGTTCCCACGTTCAATGGTTTTGAGGCTATACAATATTTCATGCTATTTGAAGAGACCGAGGTTCCTAACACCTTGTGGATTTCAGTGCGTACCTCTCACATACATAAGAAGCCCTCGTGTTTTTGCCTGGTTATATTAGTGATTGTATTAGAATTGTCTGGTTGTATTCAATACACACTGGTGACTATTGAAGGTAACGTTTGAACCTGTCTTGTCATCCACATACAGGCCAGGTTATGTCTGATTGTATAATGATTGTATAGTGGTATCCATGATCTGATGGGAACTATTGAAAGTAACATTTGAACCTGTGTTGCGATGTGCATATTGACTGGTTATGTGTACATAGACTGGTTTTGTGTTCACTTATGTGAACCTGTGTTGCAAGTATATCTGTACGGGAACCTGCGTCCCATGTGGCCTTTTTTGGTTCTTTTTCACACTTCCCTTTTTTGGGTTGTCTGTACACACCCACACACACGCACCAAGATGAACACAAACACACACAGGCGTGCAAGCAAGGCAGCACGACCTTGCTAACTCGCTGTTCAGATTAGAGCCGGATCGCACTAGTGGCTGTGCCAGTGGAGATCCCTTGCTGAATGGTGTGTGGGGGGTCGGTTCTATGGCTGTGGGAGAATAATTTCTGAGAATTTCTGGCATTCTTGTCAGGGGTTTGGATCGACAGTCTGCTAGGATGGCTGGATTGGTTTGAGTATGGTCAGCCTGTTCTGTCGGGCATGTTGCTATCCCTGCTTGATGTGGCAAGCCCTTATCCTTCAGTCAAATGCATAGTGGTCAGGCTCTCTCTCCCAGACTCTCCATCCTATTTTATACGTGCGAGTATACTGCCCGATGTGTGGCACAGGGTGTGGTCAGCACAGATGGTACCGAAGGGCTCGTGAGCTTCAGGATGGGTACTTTACGAGTTGATTCTTGAGTCTGAGGCTGATCTGCAGGCTCTATCTCGATCTGATGATATCCACTTTTCAGGATGATCTTCGAGAAGACCTTGCAGCCCTGCGCTCTATCCGAAAGTTGTCAATTCTCTGGGAGTTCAGCTGTCATGATTGTCATGCTGTTTGGCCATCTATAGGCAATGCATGGGCATGAAATCCATAAGTGGCACTGAGTAATGTGAAGTGGTGGACATTGTTCACCTCTTTCAGCTGCTTCCTCAAGGTCCGCCCGGGACATGTGGTGCACTCTTCCCTTGAGCGGTATGGGACACCACGCGAATGGCATATTCCACCTCTTGCTGTGTTATCTCTTTGCCCATGCAAATCCTTGAATTCCTCGATCAATTACTGAGCCTTGTCCCAACCTGAATGTTTAACTGGAAAAAGAGAACCTTTGCATCGTCTGGGAAGTTCAGAAACCAGGTTACTCCATTGGCAGGTGAAGCTGGTGCTGTAGGTTGTGTGTTTACACTCAGGTTTCTGCATGCTTGATTGTGCACTAAGGATGGGGTATTAGCTGGCACTCCAATCCAACAAAAAAGAAGTCAGCTGACTGTGAATGGCTGATGTTTTCTGATGATGCAGCAATCACACGTTCTAAGGACACATACCAACTTGGAGGTGGGCCACTACTGTGGCGATATGGATGTTGATAACTGGGTCATAGAAAAGTGGAAAGTGGAACTTGAACGGAATCAGGTACTCGTACGTCCGCCTGGCTGCTTCATTCTGATCAATGTCAACGTTGGTGGATGTTTACAATCCTGTTTGCATGGGAGCGTTTGTGTGGTTGGCTATTGATTTGTAAGTAGTGTTGAACGTTTGTGAAAGACAGCACCCTGTGGGTATTGGCTTATCTGTAGGTTGCCCCCTAACATTGTTTTCTCGAAAGGATCTGAAAATCAGGTTCTGTCTGTCAACCGTTACATGTATTCAAACCGTCTCTTAGGGAAACAATTCATCTTTATTTATGCTACTCGCCTTTTTTTTTTCCATTTTGCTTTGTCACCATGAATGGAGGTCATTTAGGGCCTTGCCTTGCCACACCACTGGCGAATCACCCAAAAAGTCCGTACTCCCGAACGTCAGATGAGGGAAAAAAACGTTTGAGAGCATGCTTTGCCACAAACCCAGGCGCTCTCCAATTCGGGCGTCAATAGAGGTATGTTTTGTGTGAGTGGTATGGCAGAGCCTTTGCTCTCGAACTACTGAATGCGCATGGAAAAGTGGGATAGCGGAGCGCACCAAATTCGAGAGCACTCCTGACACTACGTCTCCTCTGCCTCTTCTCGAATTTTGAGCAGATATCCGAGGGGAGGTCTCTTGGGTTTAGCTCGTTGCAGTGGAGCGAATTGGCAGAGCCTCGGCGGCTTGGACTGGGTCTATGTTGACTTTGACACGTGGGCCTGAATTTTCGAGCCGCTGTTGACCTTTTGACTTTCCATGGTCAAGTGTAAGTAATAACCGAGGCTGAACTCCGGGCCGCCCGGCAGCCGGTTCGTCGCCCGGGCGGGGGGCCGGGCCGCCTGGCCGGTCGTTCCGCCCGGTTGGCCACCGGGCGACCCCAGCGCATCGTCGAGGGGGGGCTTTTTTTTTTTTTTCCGTTGCGGGCCTTCTCTCCCCCAAAGGAGGCTGTGTATGAAAAAAAAAGAAAAAAAAAAGGGCCGGTAGGCCCGATTTGAAAGATTTCAAATCGCGGCCCATCTGCGCCGTCGATCTCCAAGATTGACGGCCCAGATGGGCCGTGATTTGAAATAGTTCAAACTGGGCCTACCGGCCCTTTTTTTCTCCCACACTGCTTCTAGTTTCCCGCCTCACTTCGGCCAACTCGTTCGTCGTTGCCTTCGAACCCCACGCCCGACGCCTCATTTTGGCCGACTGCTGCATTCGTCATTGCCTTCGAACCGCGTGCCCGCCAACGCAGTTGACGCCCCCCGAACGCCATCGCACTGCCCGCCGATGCCCCCCGCCCCCCCCCGACGCGCGCCACGGTGAGTGTGTTAGTACGGGGGGGAGAGAGAGAGAGAGAGAGAGAGAGAGAGAGAGAGAAAGAGAGATCTTCTTCTTCTTCTTCTCCTCCTCCCTCGCTTGTTCTTCTTCTTCTCCTCCTTCGCTTCTGCTTCTTCTTCTTCTTCTTCTTCTTCTTCTTCTTCTTCTTCTTGTCGCTTTTCCTCTTCCTCTTTGTCCTTTCCTCCTCCTTCACTTCTTCTTCTTCGTCTTCTTCTTCCTCCTCTTCTTCTTCTGCTTCTTCTTCTTCTTCCTGTTCTCCTCCTCCTCTTCTTCTTCTTCTTCTTCTTCTTCTTCTTCTTATACATCGTCAGGTAGACACCTGAAACGAATGGCCAAACTGAGCAAATGAGCAGGTTGTGCCAAAATAACTTTTGCGTATATGTTCGGCCTGGCCAGATCGATTGGGATGATAACTTGTCAAAGACTACAAGGGTTTACAACTAGAGTGTTCACACTGTTACAGGCAGAACACCAAGCGCACTTCACAAAGGTTGACCAGGGAACAAGTCCAACGGCTGCCCCCAGGAACAAGAGTTCGCAATTCTGTACGAGAAAGACAGCTGAAGTAGAGGAGAATATTCAAAAGCTAACACACAAATGATCGAACAAGCAAACAAGCATCAGCGACTATTTCAGTTTAAAGAAGGACATTTCGTTTGTGTTGAGTCTAAAGAATTCTCCCTCGAAAAAAATGTTACTGATTTTGCTACCTGTCTACTACGGACCCTAGGAAGTTCTCAAGGTGATCGCGGACGCAAACGGCCTCGCATTGACGTACCCCCTCACCTCAAGACATACCCTGTCTTTCATGCTTCCAAACTGCTGCCATATGTCGAAGGCCACGAGTTTTGCAACCAACCATCCGTCTCTATGAATGGAGGTTACGAAGTTGAACGATACTGTAACATGGATTATTCTCAACAGGTGGCAGGGGAAGACCGCAGAAGCAGTTTAGGTAATGTTCAAGACAACCTACGTTAGAACCAAGATGGTTCACTAGGAAAGAAATTCTACCTACTGTACCTGATATTGTCGCGACGTATGAGCGTGGGTTAATAAAACTAAAAAAGTGGTTTCTGCGACGAAACTCGAAATTGGGCCCGATGGAACGCAATAACTCTTCTTAAATCATGCATCAGTCGTTGGCTGTGGGTTGTCATTTTGGTCAAAGGGGCAAAATAGGGGTCAACGGCCACACCCAAGTCATGTAAACTGCCTGAACGAAGGCCTGCTGTTGTGGGGTACCCGAAGCAAGGCCTAAAACTGGCCTTTAGAGGCCCAACGTGCGATGGGTCAATTATTTGCTTTATTCGTATTAACTGTAGCTGCTGCAGAATCTAGAAAGGTGCGAAGAAGGAGGAGAAAAAGAAGAAGAAGAAGAAGAAAAAGAAAAAGAAGAAGAAGAAGAAGAAGAAGATGGTGATGATGAAGAAGAAGGGGGGTGGTGTAGGAGACGCGGCCCAACACGCACGCGCACGAGGCAGATAAAAAAAAAAAAAAGAAAAAAAAAATCGGAACTGGTGGTCGCTGATGGCAGGCAGGGGGGGCACCTGACTATTTTCATTCCGAGCATTCCCAAAGGATTTTCGTTAGACGACTTATTCCTTTGGCAGACATGACAAGTTCTCACATAGGTTCACACATCCTCTTTCATTCCTTTCCATTCGGAAAGCTCTCTCACATTCACATGTGTCTTCATAAACCCGAAGTGACCCTCAATATCATGACATTCCCATACTTTTGATATTTTCTTTATGAGGAATGCATATTTTTTCTTCGATTTGATCAATTGAAGAAGAGCAAGCCATCAATCATTTGGTACTCTGGGAAGATTTCAAGGTTCTTCTGAAAGGTTTGAACGAAAGGACTCCATATTGAATCCCCAACATCCCTTGTCGAGTTCGGTGCTTTAACTAAGTCATACTGACAAGGTAGGTAACAATGGCACCAAAGAAATCAGAACGCCTTATAAAGCATCAACAACAGCGTTAGACTTACCGTTAATGGTTTTCAACTCAAGTCGAACATGTCAATGAATGCAGATCATCTTACTAACTCGTCGGAGAGTTGGGGTTCTGTCGTAATCCACTTCAGGGTCGAGTGATCTAAATAGACCATGAAGTGTCTTTCGAACAAGTAGTAATTCCATGTGTCCAACGCTTCAATGGAAGGTGTTTGTAGCCTTTCCCATCACCGTGTTGTAGCACAGCCCCAATCCCAACTTGACTAGCATTCGTTGTAACAATGAAAGGAAGTGATGGATCAACAATCTTCAAAATAGGCTAACGAGTTAGCGCGTGTTTCAACTTCTTAAATGCGGACTCGAAGCCTTTATCCCATAACCAAGGTTTCTCTTCCTTTAGCAATCTCCTCATGGGTGCAACTATAAGGGTTAAGGTTATCGAACTTCCTATAATGGGTAGCAAGTCCTAGGAAAGATCGCAATTCAGTGACCGTTTTGGGTCTGGGCCAGTCTCTGATTGCTGTAATTGTTTTTTTTTTTGGCCTTACGGTCTTTGGGTTTAGGCCAGTCCCCAATTGCTGTAATTTTTTTTTTTTTCTGGCCTTAGTTCTTCTTCATTTACTATGTGTCCAAGATAGAGTACCTCAACTTTAGCAAACTCGACTTTTTAGGATTCAACTTATAATTATCTTCTTTTAACTTCCCTAGAACCATTCGCAAGTATTTTTCATTGTCTTCGAACATTTTACTATAGATGAGGATGTTGTTGAGATACACCATTACGAATTGATCTAGCCACTACCTAAATAGTTCGTTCATAGACCTCTTCAAGGTTGCGGCGGCGTTAGTCAAGCCAAAGGGCATCACAAGAAACTCATAGTGCCCATACCTTGTTCTGAATGCCGTCTTGTGTTATCTTCAGGTGCCGCCTCGATCTAGTGGTATCCTGACTTCATATCAATATTACTGAAGTACTTACAACCTTGCAGTTGGTTGAAAATATCAGTAATTCGAGAAAGGGGTTCCACGTTCTTGATGGTTATGAAATTCAATCCTCGGTAGTCAATGCAGAGTCTAATTTCTCCTTCCTTTTTAGGGTTCCACATTGTTGATGGTTACGGAAGTCAATCCTCGGTAGTCAATGCAGAGTCCAATTTCTCCTTCCTTTTTAGGTATGAATAGAACACGTGCACCATAGGGAGAGGAACTTGGTCGAATCCATCATTTTTCTGTAAGTTCTTGCAGTTGCTTTTTCAGGTCTTCAAGTTGCCTCGGGGACATTCGGTAAATTGGTCATTTGCGGGTATGAACTCAATGGTGTGGTTTATATGACGCTCAGTTACTCCGTTGGTTCAATCTGCAAGTCCTTATATTCAGTAAGTAGTTTATTGATAGAAAGTGGATAGGACGAAGAACAATCACCCACTCTTTTGACGAGTAGCATCGTCACATCCTGTGCCAACTTCTTTTTTGTGACCATACTTCGAAATGTGAGGAACAAGTCCTCAAGGGGCCCTATCAGACATCACATGTTCTGGGCTAAGGCCCCCAGCAAGTCGAGTGCCTGCTCTGAAGTGAAGGCGAGCCTGAATATTCGTCAGAGGCCAGAATTTGAAATTTCCATATGTGGGTATTCAGGCTCTCGCAGCACGCCAATTGGTTGGGTAGACGCGTGAGCCTCAACAAGTTGCGTCATACAGTTGGCCCAGGCCTTGACGGTTACACC